AGGGGGAAAGAAAGGGGAAGACGTGTGGCAGACGCTATAGTACACTGCCATCGGCTGTGCGTCAGAAGTTTGGCGGCAAAAGAACTCAGCTGCTAATTTTCGAGGCCACCTTACAAAAAAAAAAAGAAAGAGGAACAAACAAGGATTTAAGGAGGGGTCGAGCTGGGTGGAAGGACACCATTCAGCGGGAAACCTTACACCTGAGAACGCTGGAAGCCTTGATCGCGTGTGAACGGAGGGAGACAAAAGATCAGGGTTTCGCCTAGATCTACGAGGTAAAGAACGGTGATTGTCGGAAGAATCGAGAAGGGAGACGCAAAAGGGAAAAAAAAAAAAGAAGAAGAAAGAACCGTCGGCGATCGCAGAGGTAAGAAGAAAAAAAAAGGGGGGGAAATCGGGGGAAGAAGAAGGCTGCCTTTTCTCCCCCCGCGCTGCCCAGCCCGGCATGGACGCGCGGCCCACCAAGGGCGCGCGACCAGCTCGTGCCGCCTGGACGCACGGCACAGTACCCCGCAACGACCGGCCCAGTGCAGTCTGATTGGGCTGAGCTCTTTTTTTCTTTTTTGTGTAATTCATCCGTTTTAACTCCAATTTTGGCACCCTTTTCACCCGTATTCCTGTTTTTCTAACGTAGATATTATTCAAGGAGTTTGACAAATTTTGGAGCTCTCGAACAAAAAAAAAAAAAAAGAATATCACGCTGCCCAGATAAGTAGCACCTCGGAACCTTGGATTTAGCTATGTTTATAGTATGCATGAAATTATGGTATAAGTATGTTTTAGAAGTTTGAGCATAGAATGAGTTGAGATTGACGCATGTCGATTGTGATTAGGTATTTTTGTTGAAACTTTAGTGAAACGTGTATGCAACTACCTTCTGAACTGAGATTCATGACTAGCTTTCCATGATTAGATCGTTAAGTTATGCCTCCATCACGCATGTTACAGTATTAGCAGTTATCCGGGGACGATCAGGGGTTCGCCAACTAACCCTTAGTCGTAAACCTAACTCGATTGTCAAGGGTCCGCGTAACCATAGAACTGGTCATTCTATTGTTGATGGTTCCTTGTGGGGACTTATAGGAAGTTTGCCAGTTAACTTTATATTAGTGAACTTGTCACAGGAAGTTTGCCAGTTAACTTTATATTAGTGAACTTGTCACGAGTGACAGGGGTCCACGTTGTTACATTAGAGTTGGTCAAGAGATATTGCGCCTATGAGTTAGCGATTATCCGGGGACGATTAGGGGTTTGCCAACTAACCTCTAATCGTAAACCGATTGTTAGGGGTCCACGTAACTTAGAACTGGCCATTTTATTCTTGAGGGTACCTTGTTGGGACTTGTGGGAAGTTTGCCAGTTAATAATTTCCTATTAGTGAACCTGTCACGGATGACAGGGGTCCACATTGGTACATGAGAGTTGGTCGAGATTTATTGTTCATGCATATGAGTTAGCAGTTATCTAGGGACGATTAGGGGTTCACCAACTAACCCCTAACCATGAACTTGACTCGATTGTTAGGGGTCCCGTAGCTATAGAACTGGTCATTTGTTGTTGATGGTACTTTGTAGGGACTTATAGGAAGCTTGCCAGTTAGTTTCTTTTAAGTGAACCTGTCACGAGTGACAGGGGTCTATAGTGGTACACTTGAGAGATGGTCGATTCCTAAAATGCATGAACCTTGAGTATCGAGATCGCGCCTCGAGGTCCTTGAGATTTGATGATGAAAGAGAGACTAGTAGAGACAATTAGCCTAGTGGCCTAGAGAACCTAAGAGTGTTCCGAGGGCTGGGGTCCAGATAGGACCATGAACCAAGAGAAAACTAGGACGAGGAGAACCTAGGGTGTAGCCTAGAGGTACCCACACAAGGGAAATAAACCCCCATAGAAAGTAAAATAACAAACACATAAGCAAGATCAATAAGACTTCAAAACCAAATATGAATTATCGGCAAGCTGCTTACTGAGTATATCTTATATACTCATTCTTGCTACTTTGTCTTTCTTTCAGACGAGGCATGATGGAGCGGCCGAGGCGGAGGCTACACGAGCTGGAGGGGGGTATGGAGTTTTGGGCTGGTGTCATGTGTCTCATCGATATGTTTTCTTACGAACCCTTTACGTTTCGTTGGTATAGTTAGGTTTTATGAACTTCCTGTGTTGTAGCCCTTTGTGTGCATGTAGTGTGGAGTGTCGGTATTGTGGAGTGTTGTCAGACGTTGGTGTAGATGAACTGAATTTCCTTACGTGTATGCATGTTCAAAAGTTTTAAATTTTACGCACTTTTTGTGGCTCGAGTCTCTTGAAAAGCATGTCGTTACACTACACAACCTTGAAGAGCTTAGAAGAGCGACAAGAAGAGTTCTGAAGGGAAGAAATTTGAAGATATTTGCTACAATTGTGAAAAGAAGGGTCACAAGTACAAAGATTAGTGGTCCAAGAAAATCGAAAACAATGTGGCAACTTCCAAAAAGGAGATGAAGAATGAATGGGATGCAAAGTTACTGTGTACCGTAGAAGAAGACGAGCTAACTCACATGACGATGATGGGAGAATATACTGATTATGAGAATGATTGGAACATTGATTCTGAATAATCAAATCACATTACTGGCAATCAGAGTGACCCAATGGAAGCAGGATGGCACTCGGAGAAGAAAGTATTACCAGACTTGGACAACATTAAAAAAGTTATACCACAAAAGATGGGAGAGCAAACTACATACATTTGGTTAAGTGTTGTTGTGCTTGAAGATCCAAGTGACTGATATTGGTAAGCAAGAAGTGAATCGACCAAGTAGAAAGATCGATCACACTCACTACACCCAAGAATAGAAATAAACAAGAAGACACAAAGATTTATTGGTTTAGAGAAAAGAAATTCTACTATGTTCGCAAGCAGCAGCAATCAATCACTATAATCAAATTGTTTACAAGTGTATTTCTCACCCTACAAATTTCCACCTACCAAGTTTCTTCCAATTGCCCAGAGGCAAACACTCTTATTATAAGCATACCAACACTTATACATGAATCAAGACAATTCACATACCAATATGAAAAATGAACCAGATGAATTCCATCCTGTAAATGTATCCAAAAAAATATATACTTATAAATTTAGATGACAATTTGAAACAATTTCAAACTCTATGCAATAATGACCTAGAAAAGTGTTTAAAAATGACAACGTAAGATAATTACATATGGAAATAAAGTAATTATTAGAGAATTCAAATGGGTCTCTAATAATTACTTTACAATTATAATGGGATTAAGACCCATTTGAATTACTTTTGAAGATATAAAGTAATTATTAGAGAATTTGAGCTATTTTGTGTTTGGTAAAACTGATTGTTTGTTTAATAATTGATATGAAAATCACTTAAATGATTGAGTTGATTTGCAAAAGTGGTTCAGGGCAGCTTTTAAATTGAGCTTCTATGAACATCTTACTAAATAACTTTGTATATTTAAATATAACCTTTATTTCAAATAACACTTAGATTTTCTTAAAAGCAAAGCTGACATCATTTAAGGCTAAAATTGTTGTCATTAATTTAACTCAAAATATATTTAACATGATTTATAATAACATTTTTATGAAATTAACTAGAATTAAAATACTTATTTTAAAGTTCCTCCCAAACATGTCCCAAGTCCCAAGTCATCACATACAATTAAGGTTCAAGAAAGGTGAAGAAAAATATTGGGAGAGGAGAAGAAATAGGTGTTCTTGCTCTAAAGTATAAGGTGGGCAAGCTTTACTAATATTTAGATGAGGGAGCTGTGAATGAATGAAATGGTAGACTTTTCTAATTCTTCTCCCACTCTTTGGAGCAACATTGGTATCATATCTAAATTTGTAAGGAGGTTGTGAGTGAGAATTAGTGAGATATGTCTGAGAGAAACCGAGTGATGTATCTATGAGAATTGAGTGAGACTGAGCCACAAGGGTATTTCTTCACTAGCTCCACCTGTGTTTGATGGAGAAAACTTACGAAACATGGGTTATTCAAAGTGAATGCCTGCATGGAAGGTTGTGAATATGGGCTATCAAAATGCAAGCCGACATAGAGGTTTGTGAATATGGGCTATCAAAATGAAAGTCTACATTGAGGATTGTGAATATTGGGAAGCAATTGAGGAAGAATATGGCCTTGGTACACAAGGCGGCACTGAAATAAGAACGTGGCAAAGAAAAAGTGGAGAAGGAATAAAGAAAAAAGAAAAGTGGCAGCATTAACCATCGGGAACCATCTGGAACTGCCCAAACTAGATATGGTCCTCGAGATATGGTCCTCTTTCGACTCTCCCTTCTAAGTTTTTCTTAAGATTTTTAAAATGCGTCGGTTAGGAAAAAGTTTCCAGACTCTTACAAAGAATATTTCCTTCTTCTCCCCAATCGATGTAGGATCTCACAATCTACCCCTTTGGGGTCCAGCGTCCTTGCTGACACTCGATCCCTTATCTAATTGATGGGGACCCCCCAATCCACCTCATTCGGGGCTTAGCGTCCTTACTGGTACACCACCTTGTGTCCACCCCCTTTGGGGCTTAGCCTCCTCGCTGACACATCGTCTGATGTCTGGCTCTGATACCATTTGTAACAGTTCAAGCCCAATGCTAATAGATATTGTTTTCTTTGAACTTTCCTTTTAAAATGCATCCACTAGGAAGTTTATAAAATGATGTTTCGTTCTCCTACCCAACCGATGAGGGATCTCACGATGTTAGAAATGCAAGGCATTTTGGGAAGCATAATCATCCACGCTTCAGATGCTGGAGAAGCCAGATGTGAACAGTAAGTGTCATTTAATGGGGCACATGAAGGAGGAGCAAATGCTACAACAAGGAAACTTAGCAACAAGGAGTAAATGCTACAACATAACAAGAAGATCAACTCCTCGTGGTTACTAGTTTCTCATCTGCCACTTAATGTGATGGTTGGTTGATAGTGGTGTACAAATCACAAGACAGGTGACAAGGAGTTTTTGAAGGACTTTGACAAGACATTCAAGTCAAGGGTGAAGTCAAGGGTGAAGATAGGGAATAGTGAGTCTGTAGAAGTGAAAGGGAAGAGCATAGTGTCAATAGAGAGTTGTGCAGGAGTACCAATTCTAGAGGAGTTGAAAACAGACTACATGGCTTGTTTGACATGGAAGCAAACAAGATTGTCATTCAATGAAAACAACCGAGAGAAGTTGCAGCTCATCCACACTGGCTTGTGTGGACCTCAACCAACTCTAACATTTACTTCATGAAGCAGAAGTTTGAAGTAGCTAAAGTGCTTCTGAAGTTTAAAAGGCAGCTAGAAAATCACAGTAAGATTCAAATGGTGGAGTTTGATAACGGGAATGAATGCACATCACAAAGGTTTAATTCCTTTAATGAAAATTTGGGATAGAGTATCAGTTCACTGTTTCATATACTCTACTTCAAAACAGAGTTAGTAAGAGGAAGAACTGGAGTGTTATGGAGATGACAAGAGGTATGTTGCATGAGAATAACTTATTGAATGAGTTTTGGGTTGAAACAGCAGACACAACAGTCTTTATATGAAGGTGTTTGGTTGTTCCAAGTGTATTGGAGAAGATGACACACTACGAAACTTAGTTTAATACCAAACCAAACCTGATAATTTTGAAGGTGTTTGGTTGTTTGTGCTTTTCTCATGTTCCCCAGGTGAAGGATCAACGAATGGTGGCTTGAGAATATCACAAGTGGATGACAAAATTAATGGGATTCAATATTGAGATTGTGCACAAACCAGGAAAAGAGAGTAGGGCAGCTGATGGTTTATCGAGACTTCCTCAAACACTAGAATGTACGGCAATTAGTGTGGCTGGAGGTATGAATTTGAAGCTGATTTTAGACCAACAGCAAATTGATCCTACTTTGGTTGCAATGAGAAACAAATTGAACGAGGGAACTGAAGCTCCAGTTGGTTTGCGATAGTCGCTTCCTATTTCCGAACGAATATGGGATGATCTTTCAATGGATTTCATTGTGGGACTACCCTGGTTTGAATCTTGTAATTGCAATTTTCAGAAAGTAAACTTAAAAAAATTAATCGTTGAGTAGGCATAAAGATCCATACCTGAGTCATCATATCCTTGATTTATTCCATGTGGTCAGACACACAAGGTTGGTGTGTAGGAGAAAGGCACTGGAGATCGGCCATGTCAGCAAGATATTCTTGGGCAAAAGCAGTCACTTAACGTCACTGGATTCTCCTCCAATTCATTTCGCCGTTGAATTATCTGTTAATAGTTAGAATAGCAACCTCAAGGCTAAATGTTAAGAGTAGAAAAATTAAGCAATAACTACATTTTACTTGTCACCAAGGCTAAATTATGGGATGATTCATATGTATTGGCTCCAAATTTTCTACAACACAGGAGAAACTAACTCACTCCTTCATCAGAAAATTGTTGCCGTGTCATCCTTTATGCATTTCAAGAATCTCTTTCCAAAAAAATTACAAATAAAAACAATAAAGCTAAATCTTTCCAAGAGGAGAACATAAAAAGCTAAACCAAAATGAGTTTAAGTAGAAAGGGAACAAAATTAATAAGAAATTTAGATGAGGATCAAGAAGAGCGGTAGGTCCACCTTACAATGATTCTATGAATTGCAGTAGAAACAAATTGCATTGGTAGTAGCATAGCCAGTATTGTTTGTTGTTCTTGGTCATGAAATGCATCTTTAGAGACTTTTCCACAAAACACACATTTGCAATCATTAACTTAGCTCTGACTCCAAGCTGTCTAGGCGTAGCTAAAATGCACAAAAGACCAAAAAATGGCACTTCATCCTAATTGATGCTGCTAATATAATCAGGCTGTTGAGAACCAAAGTTGTATTTTTCCTTCACTATCCTATTGCAACATAGTGCTGCAATAATTTTCCAAGATTCACTCTGCAAAGGTATTCCATACATCTAAAATATTAACTATCTTATATCCCAATAGATCAACGTGTGAACAATACAATATCCCAAAGAAGCTCAAATCCTACTTCCATTCTTTTTTAGGGAAAGAACCCACCCGAACCAACCAAGGGGGCTAACTGCTCTTTTATCCGCTGCTGTCTCTGACCGACTGCATTAGCACTTGTTGAATTGGTCTTGGGCAATAACTTTAGAGTCATTCAAATAGAAGTAAGAAACTGAATGAACTTATCCGGGGCAACTCAGTCCTTTAACATTCTCTCTCTCTTTCTGTCACTTATTTCAAGAGCTCATCCAGACAGATGTTCATCCATTTCAGAAAATAATTATGAAGAAGTAAAGATTTTCTCACTCAGAAAGTTTATTATAGAGTAATGAGCCTTACAGAACTCCGGAGAAAATGCGTATTTAGCAAATTGTCTACAAGCTTATAGGCTCACAGTTAGCAGCTCACATTCATATTCCCACTCCAAAATCTTTAATTATCAATCAAGCATCGTTGACATCTTTTTGTGGCACCTAATTCATTCGTACAAGTCAAATCACCACTAAAAAAATGAAGGAGCATCTTCAATTGTTCCAGAATCACAGACTAACTAAATTTTACAGAGCAACGAAGAACTGAGTTACCAGAAACAGTAGTTCGACTACTTCACTGATAGTTTGGCTAAATAAGACAAAAATAAAAACCAAACAGTTCCAGAAAGGTGTAATGTAATATATAACTCCCGGAACCTTGATATCCAGACGCTATTTACAGCCTCGTTATCTAAAAATTGACCGTATCTACAATCAATTGCATATTACAGAGATACTAAAGGTAGAAATAGGTAAACCTGTAAACGACATCGAAGTTGACGGCGGTGCGGGCATGGCTAATATGGCTGCTGCGTCATGGAATTGTAGGCATTAAATTCCTCCATCGCCATTCCGACGGCAAATACAATGTTCTCGTTAAGATACCTCCTTCTCCTTTGCTATTTACGACGTAATCTGGGCCGGAATTGGAGTTTCCGCCTTGGATCTGAGGCTGAATTTGCTTTCAACCAAGCTTGTGAGGAATGGAACGTTGAGAAGATTTCTTGAGTGGTAATACAATTGAATTTGGATGAATCTCCACTGCGGAATCAAGTGTAAGTCTTCCCATTTTAGATCCCATCGGCACCAAACAGCTTCCTAAATAGAGCTTAAAAGTTCGTTGATCCTAGATCAAACAGCCTCTCTTTGAACCAAGTTACACATCCCCAGCCCACCTCGCACTTTCAACCCATGGCTCACCTATCCTTCGACCCAGACCCACACACTCACATACTCGAACCAATCCAAACTCGAATTGGATCACTGAATCACACCTTGACCATGGTTAGTATGACCCATGTTTGCAAAATTTAAATTATTTGTAGATGAAAATTGGATTATTTATACCTTGAGGTGAGTTAAGTTCAATAATATTTTTCTAATCCGATGATATGGATCTAGATAGGATAAATTCAAACTTAAAAGAACTAATTCATGTTAGTTCCAACGACAGTAACTCCAGCTTAGGTCAACTAGACGAGTGACTTCACTCCTAATTTGGTTGGATGAATTGCTTGAAGTATGAATGATGCATGTCTTGTGACCCCTGCATGTGTTGTTCATTGGATTGTTTATTGTTTGCTTATTATGTCATGATATGTTAATAACTATAAGATGTGTCACGTTATGGAATATTCATGTTATCACGTTATGAGATTGATGATTGTGTTATGTCACGAAAATGTAGTACCATGTTATACACTACATTACGAAATGACATAAAATGATTATGTTATGTATGAAATGAATGAAGATAGATATATATTGCATTTCAAAAACATGCATAATTTTAAACTATGGGGACTTCATGCATATTATATGTTCACATACATCAGGATACTTCATCGTTATGATTAGTACGGATGTATACACTATGATGTTACGACATGCTATTATGTATGTCATGATACTACGTGCGTTCCCTTCCTTCATTGGTATATTGACAACATGAGTGTACGCTAGTCAAAGGCCAAGTCCAGGAAAAATATATACGAGTTCGCTTGAGGTTCGTGTGCGCGTGTATAGGCCGTGTATAGAGAAGTACTACACATCCATTTTTGCCCGGGCACTTATGTTCGCTAAAAAAAATATTCAAATTATTTCTCTATTTAGTTTCTGAAAATTTAATTCCTTCTCTCATTGATTCTAAATTTCATTGTCTTAAAAAAGGATGATGATAATAATAATAATAAAATATTTAATAAGCATAAAATACTTCGAGCCTACAAAGCTCTAACTAGAAGGTTCACCCTAGTGGTGTTGGGCAATAATTGTCTATTCCTAACAACTGTCTTCTCAAGCAGAAACAGTAAACTGTCTATTCGTACACCCTCTTCGAGTTAGAATAGTAAACTACCAGGTCATGGGTCTCCACTAAGTACAGTTGTAGCTACTTTAGTAGTATATCCTCGATGACTATTGGAATTTGTTATGGGTGACAATTGAACCGTGTAAATCATCAAGTAGACTCAAACACCACTTAGCTAGTTCGCGAATAGAGGTGCGCCCTAATCATCTCTACAAGATACCTAATCAACCTAATATTTTGTGGAATCCAAAACTAGATTCAAGGACAATAATAATAATACAGAACAACATATATGGTCTAATAATAATATCATGCTCAAACAAAGGATAGTAAATCAACCTTGGCAGGCTGGAAAACTTATATACATATTAACTCTATTAGAATTCACAATTATGCCGTACAGAAGCCGTAAAAATAAGTATTGTACCAAACCATATGAAGTGTTCCAGGCTTAACTATCATGAAACTAGTTTAACTAGGTTTCTAAACAATATCCTAATCATTTGCCCCGGTCCTAATCGACATCTACAAATTCTATTTTGAAACTTGTTCCAAGTGGTTACTTATTTGTCGACTTCCCGAGCTTGGTTTGAGTCTTCAAAAATTTGAAATTCTCCAAAATTTCTCAACATGCCCTAAATTAAGTCAAAAGAATAAAACTAGTAAAAATGACTCGAATAAATTGAGAAACTAACCGATGACTGAATGGTCATCTTCACAAACTTGTCTTAGTGTCATTCAAGGCTATTATATTTTCGTTAAAATGCACATAGATAAGTGACATGACAATGATCTGTCAAATAGTGATGCATGTGGTAAACTAGCTATAGATTTATGTTTTGATACCTAAAGTTAATAATAATAATAATAAAAAAGAGTAACGACACATGTGCCTATATTGAAAGACCATTTCTCGACACTTTTTGGCGTAACATTGACATAGGTACATATATTGACGATGAGTGGTAGCATCAACAAACATAGATATGCATACGCTACACATTTTCGTGACAGTACGTACCTTCAAATTTTCATCTAAAGCGTCTCGACGCTGGTAGAAACTTTTTTTGACATTGTCATTCATATTAGTGACTTTGATAAGTGGAAATTAGTCCCAAGGCTCTGATACCAAGTGATATGGAACAAGGCAATCACTACAGGAGGAATAAGATTCAAATTACCTTTTTGATTGGATATTTCAAGGCAAGAACACTTGTTTGAGATTCGAATCACTCCACAAGCAAGATTGATCATGTCAAGCTTGAATGATTTTACATGCAACCTAAACTACATAGAATTGCAAAGAAACTTAGTCATTGGCTAAAGGAAAGCACAAATGCTTCTTTTACTCACTACAAGAAATATTGGATACGATAGCTTACGAAAGAAATAAAGTCATTTCGATATGTTCGGACCTCATGATCCATTAAAGGCTAATCAGGCCTGGTAAACTAGCTGAACTAAACAAAAGAGATCGACAAGGATAATGGTCCCCAAAGTCTCTCGACCAAGAGGCACCCTCCTCAATAAGGACAACCTAACTATGGAGTCAACTCAAGACTTCCAACTTGAGAAAAAAACATAGTGTAAACTAAATGATTTCATGTCGAAGTTGATCTTCATAATAAATGATGCTCATACCATGAAATTCGACACTACTCTTAATTAGCTCGTGACAACTTGATTTAATACTAACTTAAGCAATGAACATACACAAATCTCATCTTATTTTGCACGCCAATACGCATCAAACAAAACATATTAAAACAAATTATCTTTTTATTAGCTATAAAGAAAGAGCTCTAAACTGAAGTGAATTGACATTTGTTCATCCTCAATGAATCAAATCCTTATAGACAAAACTCTAACTTGGCTATCAATGTATGTGGGAATTTAAATTTGTTTGAGGAAGCGAAGGATATAATTAATTAGTTAGTATTTTATTTTGTTTATTACCGTTGGAAGTCCATATATGAGCATTTTTTTTATACCATTTTATGGTTCATAAATCATCTTCACGTAACAATAATGGTAAAATTTGTTTGTTGAGAGAAGAATATGACATTTAAGACAAGAAAAACCTACACATAGTGGATTTACTGTAAGATCCCACATCGGTTGGAGAGGTGAATGAAACATTTCTTATAAAAGTGTAGAAACTTCTACATAGTATACACGTTTTAAAATTGTGATGCTGACGATAATACATAACGGGTCAAGACGAACAATATCTACTCGCGGTGGGTTTAGAGTATTACAAATGGTATCAGAGTCAAATATCAGGCAGTGTGTCAACGAAGACGTTGGCCCCCAAGGGAGTAGATTGTGAGATCTCACATCGGTTGGAGAGGAGCACTCCTTGTTGGGCTCCCAAGTGGGTAGATTACGAGATCCCACATCGATTTGAGAGGAGAACGAACTATTCCGGCATGAAAATCTCTCCCTATTAAATACGTTTTACTAAAGCATACAATATCTACTAGCGAGCTATAAACATTTTTTTTTTTTAAGATTCTATACTTTTTGTCAATAAAAAGAATTATGCATCAACTACTATGCTTAGGTTGGCCTTGAAAGTTGAATAGTTTCTTTATGAAAATGAAATATTATATTATATTATGATGGGACATATATATAAATATATAACTTATAAATGAAGTAGTTAATGGCGAAGGGAATGACGAATTTTACTTGTTTTGACATATAAACATTTTTAATTATTGAGCTTAACGTTATTTTGAAATTTGAATTTTTATAAATTTGGTTCGAAATATTATTATTAAATTTATTAAAATGTTTAATTTTTTATTAGAAATTATATTTAAAATGAAAATTAATCATTAAAAACTTATTTGAAAAGAATATGAAAAAAATAATAATAGTATTAAGAAGAAAAATGGGAATGATTATTATCCAAAAAAAAAAATAATAATAATAAACAATTAAGGAATATTTCCAAAAAAATTATTTTTAGTTAAGCTTTGGTAATTTCATTTGTAGCGTATAACTTCCTCTATGTTAAGCTTTTAAGTCGGGAATATTTTCCAAATATATTCATGAATATCTCCAAAAATAACTAAAAGTTATATATGAATAAGGAAAGAGAATAATCGATCACGTTTTTTTATTTTAAAAAACATTTGAGAGTGAGAAATTCAAATTTGAATAAAATTTAAAATCATACCCAACAGTTTTTTTTTAAACTTTGCTTCAATTAGCTGATGACATCAATATTATGTCATCAATGTAATAAACCCAATAGAGACCAAAATAATTAATTTTTTATAAGTTCATACTCTAAAATAAATATTTAAAAGTTCAATGACCAAATTTTTAGAAGTTTAAATTAAATAAATGTGTAGTTGTTGTTATAATTACTACTAAAAATTTGTAAATTATCGATTAAAAAAGATCAAATTTTTTTATTAAATTAAAAGTTGAGTTGAAAATTTTTTTTTTGGACTAAATTGAAATTTGGAGTTAGTTGGGTTGTCGGTTCAGAACTCAATTTTGAATTAGGTTGTCAGAATATTTTTTAATTATTTAATAAAAGCCTTAATTTATTTACTTTACATTACATTCTATATGAAAGTTCAATGGTAATTCTATTTTTCTAGTTGGTCAAGTTGACCCAACTAAAAAAAATGTTACTCGAATTTTCTAAAAAATTCAACCCAACTAAGAAAAAAAAAAATTTAATATAACTCAACCATTATACTTTGGGTTGGGTAGTCTGAATGGGTGAGTTCTCTCAATGATCATATCAAAACTTTTAATTAATATTAATATTTAAAATAAATACTCAAAATACCCATTAATTTTTTTTTGGTTAACTTGTACCTACGATAATAGATATTAAATTTAATATTATAAGTCAGTTAATTTTAGTTTTTTTTTAATCATTATTTATTAAATACAAAAAAAATTTGAAAGGTTATATGAAGTTTTTTTAAAAAAATTTAAAATACAAAAAAGACAAAAAGTTTTAAATTAACCAAAATATTTTCTTATAAGTAACTAAAAATTTAGAGGGAAACTTATATTTTTTAATATTGGCGGATGATTAAAATAGAAGACAATTTCAGGAGATGAATTGACTGAATTGCCCCTCTCTCCGAACGTTAAAACCATCCGCTCCGTTTTTTTCTCTCTCCCAACCGGTATATAAGCTTCGTTTTTTTTTTCCGGCCATATTCTGTGAGAGAGACCAAAGGAACCAGCGACGGGAAAACAGCCCTTAACCACTCTCTCTCTCTACAAGCTCCGATACTTCTCTCTACCTCTGAAATTTCCCCCTTAAAATTCCCAGTTGCGGGAGTTCTTTAGGAATCCGGCAACTCCGTCTCTAATCGGCTGTTTTGAATCTCTGGTAAATGGTGTGTCTGACGGCCTCTTGAGACGACGAACGGAACTGGTCTCTGGTCTAGGAGAATGCGGTCCGAGAGATCGAAACCTCTTCACAATTTCATGTTGCCGTGTTTGAAGTGGGGGAATCAGAAGCACTTGAGGTGCATGAAGGTAAATTCTAATGGCGTTCAGGTTTCCGGCGTGAATCGCCAATCTCACTCCTCGAGATCGGAGGAGTCTACCGAGAGTAGGAGCCGGGAATCAGCATCGGAGATGCGGATGTTCTTGAAGGATTTGGAGATGAGACCGAAGGTTTCGAAATCGAGAATCAAGAAAACTGACGACGATGGGATCGAGGCGGTCAGAGAGAAGCTAATGTTTGATCTGAAGACGGCGGCAGATAAAATGAAAGAGGCGATTCTAAGCAAGGAGGCGGCGGTGGCCGGAGAAGAGGCGGAGGAGAAGAACAATGATTCTGCCAGAATGGAGGAGACGCCGGCGGCTGTTGCGTTGTCGATGGCAGAGGCCAGACCTTGGAATCTGAGGACGAGGAGAGCCGCTTGTAAGGCTCCTAAAGTAGACGGTGGTGGTGGAAGTAAGAATTTGAAGATTGATGAGAAGAAATCAAATTCCAATTCCCCGTTGCGAAGCGACGGTGGCGCCGAGTCGCCCAGGCTGAAAATTGGGCCGGAGAAGAAGAAGAAGAAGGCGAAATTGGTAGTACCGCTCTCGAAGAGAGAGATCGACGAAGATTTCATGGAAATGGTGGGGCTCAGACCACCGAAGCGGCCCAAGAAGAGGACCAGAACCGTACAAAAGCAATTAGATGTAAGTTCCTTCAAATTTCCCTTATTCTTCTTCAAGTTTCGAGCAGTTTTCAAATTGAAGTTCCCTCGATTTCGTTTTTGCTGAGAAATTTGAGAATCGACCTCTAATCTCTGTACTATTTTACAGACGCTTTTCCCTGGGTTATGGCTGTCGGAGATCACAGCCGATTTGTATAAGGTCCCTGAATTACCTGAAAACAGCAAGGTAAAGGCCCCTTTCGTTCTGTTGTTCAAGATCCTTTTCTAATGTTTATTGTTTAACTAATTTTCCATCCAAGCATAACCATAAATGATTTGAGGTTCAAATTCTTTCTGGATTCTGATGCTGTAGATTGTTCTTACGATCTCTGGTATTGCACAGGTGATGAAGGTTTAAAGTTCTACTTCTCTGGTCTTTTTCTGATTCCTGTGCCGACTCCAAGAGTAATTCATGAGGCTAATTGGTGATCATTCTCTATTCCTTGGGAGTCTGGTATCAACCACCGTTGAATCCCACCCAATAACTCGCGGTGTATGCTCCTCCTCTTCTTTCAAATGCTAATTTTTGTTCATAAATTAATTTGATTTCGCTTTTGCCAGTCGTGGAATAATTCACGAAGAATAGGTTTAGTGGAATTTGGAATTGGATAAAAGGACATTTTCTTCAATGATCTTGAGTAGTGAGTGATACAATGCCTTCAGGAAATGATTTGTGTAGCCATACTGTTATCATGTTGACAATATTGATGCACATTCATGTAGTTAGTTAGTCACTTACAGAATAGATTGGGTCAACTTCTGTGAGAAATGTGAAAATGATTAGTGTTAATAAGAGATAGATTCATCATTTATTGTTTCAGTAGAATGCCTTCTTTTTAGCTCTAGGAAGCAACTTTCTTCTTGCACTATCATCATAGTCTGAAGATTTGGTATGCTTTTACTGCCTGGACTAGTGTCTTTTGTTCTGAATTGTGGCAACCTAGGACTGAAAATGAACCCCCTAATGTAACCCATCTGCTGGATTTACCTAAATCGACCCACCGATGGTAGTTAGTCAAAGCTCTAGTAGGTACCAACTCCCTTCTTCTTCTGATAACAAAGAGCTCCCCCATCCTCCCGAACCACTGCTGCTTGTCCAGGGGGAGGGGTAGATAAGAAGAGCAATGTTGAGTTCAAGTTGGGAGTATTTCAACCAAAATTTGGTGTATTTGATTGAGCTTCTGAAAGTGTTAGTTTCTGAGGGTGTCTGTGTTTTACTTAGAAAAAGGGGTTAACGGAGGAAACTTGTTTTGGTTTTAGCCGTCGGGAGTTGTTTTCCTAATTATTACCCAAAAACAATAGAAGAAAAGATAAAAAGTAGAACTTGTTGAGAATGAAAGGAGGATATGAAGGGGAGTGTAAGATATAATCTCAATTGGTCCCTCATTTGAAGGTAGTTTGAATAAGATAAAACGATTAGGTAGCCACTAAACATTTTTAAACTATGAATGGAAAAAGACACTAATTTTAAATCTTTTAGTCTATTTGTACTTTTTTTTTTTCTTTTTTCCTTGCTATTTTTATTTTAATGGATGGGTGCCGAGTTAAAAATAGTGTAAAAAGGAGACGATTTTAAATGCAGTTTGTAGACAATTTTATCAGGTTATTCTCTGTTATCAATTATTTTATAGCCATGCGACTTTTATTGATATTTATTAATTAACATGTGTATAGAATGGTGTAATATTGAGCATTTAATATTTAAGAAAATTTATCACTGTTTTTAATGTACCACAATTTCAACCTCATTAAACAAGGAGCCAACTGTCACAATTGTATTCTATTAGGACGTGCAATTTGAATGTGTGACCCTTGCAACCTCAAGTAAGTTAACCAACTAGAATTTGAGTCGATGTAGGTATGGGTGTTCGTATGCTCCAGCCTCCAACCTCATTGCTCAAGAAATATTTTAGAAAAAGGGAACAAATAAAGTTTAAAGTTTTGGAAAATGTTTGGAAATCAATTTTAAAAAAGCAACGTAGTTAGTGTATAACTCAGTGTATAACCAGAAAGGTCATGTATGTATATATATATATATACATATACATATATATATATATATATATATATATATTTTTTTTTTGAGAATCTCAAAAAACCAAATTTTGTTGGGAAATTGAAAAGGGATTTGGAAAGGGGTTTAGTAGATCCTAATCAAACCATCAATCAAGTAGTCACCTATAAAATAAAGGAGAAAAAGAAGAGCAAAATGTTGGTGGTTTTGTCTAAACTACATGATTTGTTTGAAAATGGTCCAAATGAGAAGAAAAAGTTGCTCAAACCTTTTAATGAGGTTTTGCTCCACTATATGATCATTTTAGGCTTAATTTCATGAATAAGTTGTTTCAATAAATAAACAAATAAAAACAATTTACACATTTGGGGTAGTTTTGAACCAAATCATTGGTTATGATTCACATTCGTGAGATATTAGGTGGGGACTATTAAAATTAGTTAACCAATATCTAATAGTGAACTTGTTTAAAGTTACAATAGTCTGCATAACATGGTTGTAGCTAGTAGAGATATGAGGTTAATTCCTTCCCGATTATATTGTTAGGTTACAATATAGGGACTATTAAAGAGTCTTTAGTTAACCTTTGATGGTGAATATTTAGGTAGATGGGTTATACATTTGTATTAGATGAGTTAGATGATGTGGGGGTTGTACCCTAGATGCATGTGGTTGATCTCACTTACATTTAGGGTACAACCGTCATATCTATATACTGTAGACCCTTTAGATTATTAATGTAATCTTGAACATGTGAGTTGGATGATATGGGGGTTGTACCCTAGATGTATGTAGATGATATACAAGAGAATCATGTTCAAGTAATAACCAAAAGAGTCTATAGTATATAGATAAGATTGGATGGATGCCTTATCCTAGTAACATTATTGATACAACATTATTGATATGACCTACCTTATAATTGTTATAAATAATTTGATTCAAATCATTCGTGTGGAAACCATGTGAGTGGGGATATCCTATACAATGAGTTTGTATAAAATTGAACAAATAAATATTAATCTCTCTTTATAATTTGAGAAGATTAATATGTCAGATGATAATTATATGCAACTCGATCTTAATCTTGAGTGAGTTATGAGCTTCTGCTTGTGAGGGTTTGTCCCTTGATTTTCATGGGTAAGAACGACTCTTGTAGCCGATTCAATATGCTTACCATTTCGGAGACTTGACTAAACAGGGAGCTGGAAACATAATACACAAGATGAAATTCACATGTAAGGTAAGTAAATGAGTTGTTCTTTTAAGTGCTTAGAAATGAGTTGTTCTTTTAAGTGCTGATTTTAGAACTTGAACAATGGAGCTCCACCTCTCATTAGCCTGAGGGACTTGGTTTACGATTGAATCATAATCAAATTATTCATTAGAGAATTAGTAATACTTAATGTGAAAGATGTAATTAAGAGTAGAATGAACTTTTGACCCGTAATTATGAATAACTTGTAAAAAATTGACTTGTTTGTAATGATAGTATCATTAGGCATAACTTGTCCTATAATGCACAAAAGTGCAACTATAAGTCTATCGTGGAGTGACATATACTTAATGAATGGAAATTGATTAATTTAAAAGTTTAATTAGTGGAATTTTGAATCATTAGAACTAATCTATCGATCCCTTTCTTACTCACCGTAACATTAAAAGTTTCAATTTAATGAAAATGAGAAAATAGATCTAATTTGAAATGCTTAAACTAATATTTAGTATATTAGATATTAAATAAATAGAAAAAAATATATATAATTTGATATTAAATAAATAGAGAAAAATATATATAATTTGAACAAATTAAAATTTAATGTATTAGATACGTTAAATATAAATTAATAAAAAAAATATAAATGTTCAAATTAATATTTAATATATTAGATATATTAAAATATAAAAATATATCTATTGTATAAATAAAAATTTAAAATTTGAATGAAATTCAAATTAGTTAAATATATATTAATAACATTTAAATAAAATATTATATTCTAATATATTATTTGGTAAGATTTTCAATAGTCCTCAAAAAAGGACTCAATATATATAACAATCCTAAATTTCTATATAATTAGAGTTGCAACTAACGTCTCATGCTCATCTGTAATGCGGAAATATAACTCTTACATTAACATCATTTATAACGTAAATTTTGAAAAGCGCTTAAAACAACTTCTTCTCCGGAAAACAGGTTGCGGGTTTTTTTCTACCAATTGGGACCCTCCCTTTACCACCTCCATGAGGATAGTCCACAAGGTTCATCAATACTCCTCTTACTACAGAACGCTTACCTAGCCAACATTTAAATCTGTCTCTACCCAAACTTTTTTGGTTTACCCAGCATTCCCCACTTATCCGACAGTTGCTTAGCAATTTTTGGATTAGGAATGTTTTTATTCATATTATTGATAATTGATCCTTTACTTTCAATAGGACCAAGACTATTGATTGATTTACTTAGTCTAGACCTGTATTCTAACTTCCCGTTAGGCAACCTCGAATTTAACCATCTTTTTTCCATAGAGCTTTCTTGCCCTTATTTCCATCAAAATACAATAGATGAATAGTCATTTGATGAAAAATAAATCATTTGAATATCTCATTTCCTATCACGAATAGGATATAAATCCAATCACTCGGATTATTAACTACTAACGAGTGGGTCTTAAAAAAAAGGTCTTACGTGTTTAAATACGAAAATACTGAAATTTAGAGAAAATAAAAACAAACACAAAATTATTTAAAACAATGAAATGCAAAACAACCTATTCTAACCCAAGACCAGGAATTTAAATATGAGTCTACCCTATGCATGTGCCACAGTCTCTGCTCGTGATGTCACCGCCCTCCGTACAAGTGCGTCTTGCCTTTACCTGAAAAAATGATGTAGCACACGGTCTGAGTATTTCGAATAATACTCAGTAAGTGGCTCCACTATAGGGTCCATGCAAATGCAAACACATGCAATCATGATTTAGGGACCTATCTCTAATCAATATAAGAGCCGCCTCCCGTCAGACAAATTGAATGTGTAGTATTTCCCTACATACGATTCACACGTGTGAGTGTGAATCTCCAAGGCGCTCGCACACCCCCTGGATCGTCTAGTCAAGCTAATCTGTAGCAACGTCCGAAGGTCAGCGGAACCCCATAGTGTCATGCGCCTCATGAACACCCTCATCTGTGCGCATTCGCACTCATTATATACTGTGCGCGTCCGCACTCATCATCTCTAAGGGAACTAGCCCTATGCTTATGAACATACAATATGCATGAGGTCCGTCTAAATCTATCATAATGTCTCTTCTGACACAACCCTCTAGTCTCATCTATTTGTTACTCTAGGTAACACATACTCGTGGATATTTGTATTAATATCGTTTTCATGCTCTTAGAGTTGTGTCTTATGTTGATCTAACGACATGATGCAATATGACACCCATCATCATACATGTTCAATATGGAAAACATCATCATATTAAGGCAAACGTCACACAATCATCATACTTATCATATTGCCATAAAGTGCATCAAGTATATCAAGTATGTCATTCATCGAAATAAATACTACGAACATCATCAAGCATCATAACTAATACATCATCATAACTCATACATCATCATATACTCATATGCATCATGTGATACAACTCATACATCATCATAACTCATCTAATTTTTAACTTATCTTATAGTAAAACCACTTACCTGATTAGCTTATGCTGGTATCACCCATCTATCCTTAATGAAAGTTCGATTTTATCCTTTGTATCCATGTCAATCTATATGAATCCACAACATCAATTTTACGTTCGACTTTGCAAGAGTAACGTCTTAGAATGTTATATATATATATAGATATTTATTTATTAAGATTTCATTTTTTATTATCTCATATTTATTTTAATCTTTAATTATCTTTCTCTAGGCATGTTTTAGGATCCATTCTTACTCCAACTCTTTTTTCGGTCAATGCTTATTGATTCTTACTCCAACTCTTTTTTTCCTTTTCTTTTCATTTTGTTGGTTATTTTCTCTCTTTTTTTTCTTTTGATTTTATTGACTATTACTTTTGTATCTCTTTACTCTTTTGTTAAATTACTTGGTGGAGGCCATTTCCAATTTTTCTCTCCCAGTCATCTTTGGTTACTGTTCTAATTTTTTCTTTTCCTAAAATCTGACATTTTTTCTTTTCTCTTCTATTTTTTTCGGTAGAATGTCTGATCATTCATTCCGTGGCGTAGGAGGTGGTGGAAGAGATATTTGGAGAAGACCGAGAGAGATCATTTCTTTATTTATTATTATTATTATTTTAATTTATTTATTTTTAAAAATTTTCCAATCATTACGTTATACTTGTATTGAGCCAAAAGGTCATTGATCTCTCACCGTTCTTTACTTTCACGGTTTCTCTCGTAGAGAATTGTCTTGAAATTCTCATTCTCTATTCCCTTTAAGATTTGTTTTCAAGAGACTCTCACAAGCCTTTGCCTCGTATTCGAGTGGTGTTCGAGTCATAACAAGGAATATCTTGTGAAATGTGGAAAAACTTTTGCGTGGCTGGAATATATCAAGGAGGTTTTGCAAGATGTAGTTTGAGTCCTAAAAATCTAAATCTAAAGCTTAATACATTCCAAACGATATAATTTGAGTCATGAACATGTTGAATTGTAGGAGTTCTAGGGGTTCTTGGATTTTGAGTTTTAGAACCTCGGTCCTTTGTTATGGCACCTAGCGGTCTTCATGTCTAGCAGACATAAGGCTTGGGTTGTGCTTTTTCTTTATTATTGTCCTTAGATCATTTTCTTAGTTTCATGGGTTTTTACTCCAATGGTTATTCTTAAGGTACATCATGATATGAGTCTTTTTTATGAATTCTTCGGCCCTAATCCAAGCTCATGAACGGTGTAAACATTTCATAATAACATGCCTAAGTCTTGCATAAACATCATAAAAGTTTATAACATGTTCCTTTAAATTCTTGGTAAATTATGAGTCTTTATTAGGGATCTTTAGAGATAGCTTCGTTATTTCTTTTAAGTCTTGGCTTATACCCCAAACTTGTTCTAATGCCACAAGAACTTGCATAACCCGCCACAGTGTCATAAATGAGTCTTATATAAGGTTTTATAACATTTAGAGTTCATTCAAGTCTTAAAAATATATTATAGTCTCTACTCCTTAGCGCATCTGGAGATGGGAAATGAGATAAGTAGCAGGGATGGGGACAAGGAAGACTTCACATCCTCGCCCCGTGGATTTGCCTGAGTTTTTCCATATTTTTCTTAGTATTCCAAAATTTGATTGCTAAATCGTAATTTTTTTTATTTTAATTCGATTTTCATATTTCTTTCTTCATAACTCGATTTAACTTAGCTCATTCGGTCATCCAACAATTCAAAAAAATTAACGACATTCAAGTAGGTAGCAGTTAAATCGACCATAATACCCCTATGAGGTTGACTTTGACTCATCTTTTATTTTTCCACTATTTTCTTTTTATACTTTTCTTGGGTTTATAAGAATGTTCTAAACACTTTTCCTACCATATTTTGAAACTCGGCAGCTACAACCTTCTATAAAATTTATCAAGTTCAAATTTCAAAAGAAAAGTTGAGATCAGATTTGGGTGTTACTTTTTTTTTAAAACAAATAGACCACCTATTTATAAATTGTCATGCAGTTTGCATAAGAAGTGAATAACATGTAATATTACTGATCATCTCTTTTTCCATGGAATGTAATTTAATCTTTGTTTTTGAAATGTATTTCATTTCTCTCCATTCTCAAACCTATTGATTCTAAAATTGAATAAATCCATTTTTGTCTTGTAGGATATAAATATGAAAATGATGAAAGTTTAATAATAATAATAATAATAATAATAATAATAATACTCAATAAACATTGATATGGATTTGTTTAATACAAATCCAATGCAATATAATAAAAAGAGACAGAGATAAAGATAAAATTAAAAGTTAAAAAGGGGATCCCCTAATATTAATACCCATTTGAAACCCTCTTGAAAGGAAACCAATTATTAGGAGAAAGAGAGAGAGAGAGAGAGGGGGGAGAGAGTTCCACATGGAATTATGGCAATCATGGAGAGAAAAAAACGAAAACAAGGCTTCAATCAAAGTTGAAAAGAACAAAGAGACAGCCCATAAGTTTTTAATTATTGAGGAACAACAAAAATGAAAAGGAATATAAGAGAACAGTGAATCGAGATGGGTAAGGCCATCAAAATGGCGTAACTCTTTGTTTATGTGTCTCCTAAACTATATACATTTTTCTTCTTCTTTGTTTTTTTTCACTCCAAGATTTCACCATTTTCAATTCCCACCTTCTTCTTCTTCTTCTTCTTTTCAAATTTCAAATAATTCCATTTCTCTGATTAATTCCAATTTGCAGACACTGATCAGATCACATGCTTCGTAACAGAAATCATACACACATGAAATCAATCTAACCTGTCCTTCAAGATTCGGATGGATTTTTTCTTTCTTTCTTATTTGTTCTTCTTTTTGTTCTTTCCATTGCAAAACAGAGAACCGAATCCAAAAAAACTCACAGTTACTTTAGAAATGTATGGCGGAGGGAGGTTGAGAAGAGGACTCATTATTCGAACTCCATTCCCATTGTTCGCCCCGAAATTCCTCCTCGTCGAAGGCTTCTGAGAGAACGAATTTGCGAAATACGAGTTCGAGCAAGAAGATACGGACGATTTTCTACTCGAAATCGAAGGCTGTTTCTGCAAATTCGGCGTCCGAGAATCCTTCGATTGCGATTGCGATTGCGATTGCGATTGCGATTGGTGTTTCGAATTCAAAGCCGAACCAGTGGAGTTGCTTCTGGAGAGAAAATGTAAGGATCGTATCAAACCTCTACTCTTGGAGCTTTCGCAATTGAGACTACTGCTTCGCTTGAACTGCCAGAACGATTTGGAGTGCGGTTTCTCCTCCGCATCGAAACTCGCGGATAGAAGTTCTTTCAGGCTCTTCTTCTCGGAGGAGACTGAACTTGTCGGTGGATCGGGAGGAATTGGAGGAGTCGATTCGTTAGGTTTAGAAACTTCTCTGTTTGGCTCGACCGATTTCTTGATTTCGACGGGGAGAATTTTTCCATTGCAGAAAAGCTCATCCGCAGAGGAGAGATCTTGCAGAAGAAGATTGCCAATGCAGAAATCGAAATCGAAATCGGATTCCAGAAGACTCAAATCCAAGCGACCGCGGTTGCAATCGGAGGAAGAAGGCAAGGAATCGGCCTGGTTCAGATCATGCGAAAACGAGATTCTGGGACTGATTCCTACGCTGGAAATCTCAGAGCAAACTTCAATCGCCATAAGCTTAGCCAATAAAGTCGCCTAATCCGAAGGAACCGCAGCAGCAGATTGAAAACGAAATTGTGATTTGAATTTCCGGAAGAAAAGAGTGAGAAACAGCAGCTTTGTTCCGTAGTTGTTGAGGGTTTTGGGGAGGAGAAAATGGGCATTACGAAGATGAGAAGGTAAGAAGAACAAAATGTGGGAAAGAGAAGGAGAGAAAGAGAAGGAGAGAAAGAGAAGGAGAGAAAACACTACAAAAACAAGAATCTTGGGAAGAGAAGAGAAGGGGTTTCCGATGGAAGTGAGATTATTATTATTATTATTATTATTTAATTTTATACGATGGAGTTACAAAAGGGCTTAAAAATAAAATAAAATAAAATACCCAAATTTGAATGCAAGAGGAGCCTCAAGATTTGATGTTTCCCATTATTAAAAGGAAATACTATGATTTCATTTTACATTTTTTTTTTTTTAAATACTATTGATGTCATTGTTAATTTTTTCAACAAAAATAATATTGTTTAAATTACCAACTTTACTCCCACCATTCTAATTTTTTTTTTAAATTGGGTTGGTTTAAGTTGCTTGAGTTATCTATTCTTTTTTTTTTTTTTTTTTTTTTTAAATACTATTGATGTCATTGTTAATTTTTTCAACAAAAATAATATTGTTTAAATTACCAACTTTACTCCCACCATTCTAATTTTTTTTTTAAATTGGGTTGGTTTAAGTTGCTTGAGTTATCTATTCTTTTTTTTTTTTTTTTAAATACTATTGATGTCATTGTTAATTTTTTCAACAAAAATAATATTGTTTAAATTACCAACTTTACTCCCACCATTCTAATTTTTTTTTTAAATTGGGTTGGTTTAAGTTGCTTGAGTTATCTATTCTTTTTTTTTTTTTTTTAAATACTATTGATGTCATTGTTAATTTTTTCAACAAAAATAATATTGTTTAAATTACCAACTTTACTCCCACCATTCTAATTTTTTTTTTAAATTGGGTTGGTTTAAGTTGCTTGAGTTATCTATTCTTTTTTTTTTTTTTTTTTTTTTTTAATAAATCTTGTTCCTACATGACCCCAATCAATTCGATTAGTCATTCGCCATCTATTTTTATTATTTGAATGAACCGCCGAGAACTCGTATGAGAGTTGGTTTAATTGTTCTAAATAAGGCAGAATATTTCTGAGATGTTAATGAACAAGACGTGCTTCTATTAATCGACATTATCTTCCATTTTGTTCGAACGGGATCCGAAGTATCCGTGTTACTGGGTAGAATGCCTTCGGTTGTGGGTTATCAACCAACTATTAATACCGAAATGGGTTCCTTACAAGAAAGAATTACTCTACCAAGGAAGGGTCCATAACTTCTATTCAATCAGTTTATGTACCTGCGGACGATTTAACCGATCCTGCTCCTGCAACCACATTTGCACATTTGGATGCTAAACTCTTTAACAACACGAAAAAAACCATAGTTTAACTCTTTGACAACATGAAAAAAACCAAAAAAAGCTCTGACCCTCTCTATCTATCCAAGGGATGGAAGGGCATAGGCCTTTGGTGTCCCCTCCCGTCAAGAATCGGGATCTCACAGTCACTAGCCAATATGTTTTCTGTCCTGCCTTTTTTCATTCATGATTCAATAATATTTTAGTGTCCTAGGCATAAAGGATTCCTATAACATTTATTTATTTTCAAATATTTAGTAAAAATTTAGAATTCAATTTTAATATATTTTTAAAAAATTGTTAAAGAATAAAGAATAAATAATAAAATACATAATTATTAAATTAAATGAATACTTAAAAAATGTATATTTTAAAATATAAAGCGAATAAATTTGAGTTGATTCCATTGATCCAATTTAGTTATAGAAAAATTCATTTTTATTTATTTCAACCTAATTTCACTCAAATAAATTCAATTCAAACTGATCAAATTTTTTGGTATCAAAATTTTCAATAAAAATGTTGATTTGATTTATTTTGTTTGAGAAACAATGCTGAAGAAGACAAGTTGAGTGATGAAATTTGAGGTAAAGAATTGAATGTGATTGTGAATTAAGGGATAGATCTCATTTGATGGATTATATTTTTGCCTTAGAAATTATTGCAAAAGACAATTTTTTTAATCACAAAGAGTCCCACTCAAAATCAACTTTTCTAAAGATAATCACATGGTGTTTGCGTTTCAATTTTTTTTTTTTTTTTTATTTACAAAAATTTTAGACACAATCTACTTAGTTTACTAGTCTTACCTCATTGCAAAATAATTTTGTCGTGCATAGTGACACAATCGCACTTTCGAAGGCAGCGGACTAGCGATTGTGCGGCACTCACTTTCCAGCGACAAGTGAGCTAAGCCAATTTGTTCTTGCATCGCCTACGGCCAAGCGACGTACGGTCGAGCCTCTAGCCTCGGTTTTAAAAGAAGGTTTTAGAAAACGAGGAGAGAGAGAGATTTTAGAAAGAGAGATTTTGGAAAGAGACGTTATATAAGCAAGCAAGAGAAAGATAACAACGGCTTAGCATATATAACCTTGGGTAGGGAGAAGTTGACAACTAGTCATATCCCCCTATAGTACATTCTGAGCCATTTTAAGTCTGGTAGGCCTAGACATGATATTTTTTAGGCGTCATACGCCCTAGAATTACAAAAGGAAAACCACTAGAATGAAAAGACATGACAAGGGTTTGGCTTGTCATGGGCATGCGACCATGGGCGACAAGCCCTGGACGAGCATGACCGAGACATCCTCCCCCACCTAATTGGTTGACGTCCCTGTCAACCGACTACTTTCAAACCTTGCGATGTGGGTGGCAGCGGAGTTCAGATCTTCGGCGCATTCCCAGCTGGTTTCCTCTGTAGGGAGATTCTTCCATTTGACAAGGAATTCATGAATCGTCCGTACAGGTCTTCCTATCTTCTTAACCCTGTCAACTAGGATCTCTTCTACTTCTTTTGTTTCTTTTTGCTTCAGATCGATGCTCGGTCTTGTGGTTGCATTTCGTTGGTCGTCGTCTGGGTCAGGGTGATAGGGCTTCAAGTTGCTCACATGAATTACTGGGTGGATTTTCATCCATGCGGGTAGTGCAACTCGGTAGGAGGTAGCCCCGATCTTTTTAAGGACTTCAACCGGGCTTTCATATTTTTGAACTAGTCTCTGGTCCTTTCGGCTGCGAAATCTGATCTGTTCTGGTCTCAGCTTGATAAGAACTTGATCTCCTGTTCGGAATTGAAGGGGGCGACGCTTCTTGTCTGCCCACTTTTTCATATGCTTGGAAGCCTTCTCTAAATATGTCCGGGCTATATCTATCGTCTGCTTCCATTCTCTTGTAAAGTTGTGAGTTTGAGGGTTTTTCCCTGCATAAGGATGATCAATAATATGGGGTAAGGCCGGTTGTCGTCCACTTACAATTTCGAAGGGACTCTTCCCCGTAGACGAGCTTGTTTGGCAATTGAAGCAAAATTGGGCGACATCTAACAGTTGTATCCAGTTCTTCTGGCGAGCGTCGACGAAGTGACGTAAGTATTCTTCGAGCAAGCAATTGAACCGTTCTGTCTGTCCATCGGTCTGAGGGTGATAACTCGAGGAGATGTTTAAGGTTGTTCCCAAGAAGGCGAATAACTCAGTCCAGAATGTCCCAATGAATCTGCCATCCCTATCACTGATGATGCTTGACGGAATGCCCCATAGCTTTACAACGTGTTTGAAAAACAGTTGGGCTGTGAGTTCTGCCGAGCATAATTTTGGAGTGGGGATGAATGTCGCATATTTTGAGAATCGGTCTATGATAACCAAGATGGCGTCATATTCCCCTACTTTTGGGAGGTGTGTTATGAAGTCCAGAGATACACTTTCCCAGGGTCTTATTGGCACAGGTAGAGGTTCCAAGAGTCCAGAGATTTTGGCTTTCTCGACCTTGTCCTGTTGACAGATGAGGCACATCTTGGTATATTGCATGATATCGTCTCGCATGTTTGGCCAGAAGTACCCCTTCTTTATTAGGGCGTATGTTCTTTGCCACCCAGGGTGTCCGGCCCATAAGGTATCGTGACATTCCTGAATGAGCTTCTTCCTCAGTTCCCCCGTTCTTGGGACATACAATCTGTTTCCTTTGGTCGTCAGGAGGTCTCCCTCAACCCAAAGCTGTCGTGTTTTTCCAGCTTTAGCTAGTTCGACGACGGCTTTGGCCGATGGGTCTTTAGGTAAATGTTCCTTGATGATGTCGCGCATCGATCCATCGATCTTACTTGAATGAATATGGGCTAACATGCACAGGGCCGCATGTTCGCCCTTCCGACTCAGCGCGTCGGCTGCTTGATTACTCTTTCCTGCTTTGTGTTCGAACTTGAAGTCGAATTTGGCCAACGACTCCTGCCACCGGGCTTGTTTTGCCGTTAATTTTGGTTGATCAAAGAAGTGGCAAATGACGCTGTTATCCGTCTTCACTACGAACTGTGATCCCAAGAGATACTGTCTCCAGACTAGAAGGCAGTGGATTACAGCCAGCATTTCTTTCTGGGAGACAGTGTATCTTCGTTCGGCATCGTTGAGCTTTCGACTTTCGTAAGCGATGGGGTGGTCTTCCTGAATGAGGACCCCACCTAGAGCAAAGTCAGAAGCATCGGTTTCTATTTCAAATGGCTTTGTAACATCTACCAACCCGAGGACAGGACCCCTCGTCATAGTTGTTTTCAGATTTTCAAAGGCCATTTGACAATCATTCGACCACGACCAAGGGTGGTCTTTCTTCAACAGCTCTGTCAATGGGGCGGCTTGTCGTGAAAACCCTTCGACGAACCGCCTATAGTAGTTGGCTAATCCTAAGAAGGACCGCAACTCGGATACGGAAGTAGGAACTTTCCATTCTTGGATAGCTTTTATCTTGTCGCTATCCATACTAATTTGTCCACATTTGACGACATGTCCGAGGAAGTTGATGCATGTTTGTGCGAATGCACATTTCTCTTTCTTCACATACAGTTGGTTCTGCCGTAGCTT